CAAAACATTTTGTCATAGTTAAGAGGGACAGAATAACGATCCAACCAATAATTGTGAGCTGCTAAGAACAAGTGAGAGGTTTTACAAAAAACAAATGGCTGCACTCAGCCTGGCAAGAGTCCAACTAATGGGAGATTGTATTATTATAAAAACATTTGCCTGCATAAATACATAAACCTGCAATCTCAAATACATTGATTCAAATTTAACATAATATAATATAATACATTTAATAGGTATAATAAACTGAAAATAACATTAGGGTTGAAGGCTCACTTTGGCATACTTGGCTTCATGCTTGGTGTCAAAATGCTGACGTAGATTGTAATCTTTGATGACCACCACTGCCTCATAACACAAAAGACATAGCAGTTTCTCTCCTTGAAGCACAAACACATACTCGCCGTCCCATCTTTCTTGAAACCACCTCCCATCTGCATCAATTTTTTCTCTTCCTGGACATTTTGGCATCATTGTTTGTATTTCTCAATTCCACTTGTTTGGAAAATGATACTGAAGTGTAAAACTGTAATCTAGTGGTGGGATGCTGTTACTTCGAGTAACACAATTGGCATGCATTATGGGAAATGTAGTTTGTTGTCAGTGCACCCTTGACTTATTTGTTATATGACAATCAGACCTTTTAAGCTCTCGCGGGCCACATCTAGCCTGCGGGCCTTGAGTTTGACACATGAGGTCTAGACCAGTTTGTCCAAGGATGATTAACTGTGGTGGCCATCTTGGACTGGGTTGACTCCAAAACTTGCACGTCAAGTTCTAAGAGTTCTAAGTTTCTTAGAGTTTCATTGAATCTGTCAAATAGGATATTTTGTTTCATATAACACACATTATCACCCACCTTTTGGCAGCAGCCGAAATAAAAAATAAGGTGTTTAAACAGATATATTTTACTAAAAGTGAGGACTAAAAGTATTTAAATGCTGAAATTGTTGGAATTATGGTTATTTTAAAAACAGTCCAACAAATGATACCATAATTTGGTCCATTTGTATTTCACCTCTGACTCTGGCTCAGGTACTTCTTGTATCTCCTCCATGTGGTGGGGAGTATCTGGTTCTGACATGTCGGAGTCCAGTTCTTCTTGAACAGGTGGAGGCTTCAACTCTTCTTCCCGTTTGCTTTCTTGTTCCTTCATCAACAAAAGCACATGTGCTGGGACCAGGCTCCATGTTCATGTATGTTTGTAGTCCCGTGTGTTACCTGCTGTCTGCGTTTGGCCTCCTCTCGCTCCTTGTTCTCTCTGGCTTGTCTTCTCGCTCGCTCTTCTTCAGCTTTCTTCTTGTTCTCTTCGTCTGAAGCCTTGGCCAAGTTCTCAAATCGAGCCTTCAGTTTTCCCGCGCCCACGCTTGCTGCAGAAAACAGACAATAATGAAAATAAAACCAGCATTTTATTAATAATATTTGCAGAATTATGATTAAAAATGTGGGTTCAGTGAACTTCTGACAGGCTTCCACCGGCTGGGTCTTTTCATAAGCAGATTTGGGGGTGTCCATGTTTGTGAAGTCTACGGCACTCTGGAGAAAAGTAAAGAGGAGAGGGATTTATTTGTAGGTTTTTTATGAGTCCAAGCAGATGAAAATGTAAAATGAATATCTGGATTTATCATATTAAAAGACGAGAATAATTAATTTGCAGAAAATTGATATAGATGTGCAAATAAATACAAGTGTTGTGGGAATTTAATGCCCGGCTTTGACTACCAGAGCAGAAAACAGAACATAAACCACAAATTGATGTGAAGTTTATAAAGAATTCAAAAGACATGTTTGCTGATTCTTGTCCAGTATTACAATAATTCATGCCCAAATGAGGGGAAACGGTAACACATTTTTTGTTTTGTACATATTTGTGAAAAAAAAAAAAAAACTCTGTTAACATCTCTTAGAAATATATCTCCTAGTCAGTTTCAATAATAAATGCCTGGCCTCATAATTAAAGTAATTTTCTCAGTTTTAATTAAGTTCTGAGTAAGATGTGTTATGTTGTTAGTAAAAAAAAAAGTGTTTAAAGGAGCAGAGAGGCTTAAGATTCACATTAAAATTCACAACAAACAAACAAAATACAATATAAGTTAATAATAAAATGGCACATGAATCTGACAGTTTTACAAAAAGGAAGAAAAAAATAAAATCTTTCGAACAAGAACATAAAATATAAAATTGTTCAAAATTACTGACTTCGTCTTTTTTTTTAATTATTGTTGAAGGTATGAATATAAAAAAAGTGTTGCATAAAACAGATAATTTTTTTTTTAATCATATCACAATTTTATTAAAGATAATCAAACTTCTGCTTGTTATTCCAATTAAACAACTTACTGTACTTTTTTTTTTTTGTTCTTTGACACAATTAAACAATGACATCATTTTAATAGTTTCTGACCTTATCCATGCGATCGGCCTGCACTCCATAACGACCTCCGAAACCTGTTGAGTAATCTAAACACAAAAAACTTTTAATCAGTTCAAGGATTAACTCTCTAATGTTTCAGATTATGCTCAATTTGGGGATTAAGTCACCTTTCTGTGACTGATGTTTCTCCGTCTCGCCTTTATAATCGAACCCCAGAGCAGATTTATCGACTTTCTCCTTCTCCACACCGTACTTTCCACCAAATCCCTTTGAGTAATCTGAACGTGATGCACAAAACTGTGTAAAATACAGGATCATCAGTGTGTCAGATGTAATCAAAGCTTCACGTTTGAATCACCCGTCTGTGACTGATGCTTCTCAGTTTCTCCTTTATATTCGTAGCCGACAGCATTTTTGTCCACCTTCTCCTTCTCCACGCCGTATTTCCCTCCAAACCCCTTGGCGTAATCTGATAAAGACACCACATAAATGTTAAAATATTTCATATATTGGCATCAAAACAGCTGACTGATTGGACTTGAGCTCACCTTTTTGTGACTGATGCTTCTCCGTCTCGCCTTTATAGTCGTAACCCAAAGCTGCCTTGTCCACCCTCTCCTTCTCGACACCGTACTTCCCCCCAAATCCTTTTGCATAATCTAAAAAACAAACAAACAAACAAAATCTCTAAAGCAATACTTGAAAGAATATGCATTTGCAGCAGAACAGAGGCGACTGACCTTTCTGAGAGGTGTGCTGCTGCACATCTCCCTTGTACTCAAAGCCCATGGCAGACTGCAGCGATAACACACTTTGATTATTTAGCAACATACAGTCATTTTAAACCTGCATGTAGGCCTGTAAACAATAAATCAATTAATTAATGACAAATGAAAATGATCAACCTCATTTTCATTTATCAGCTTTATCGTTTCTTTGTGTCTCTCTCTTTCTACTGAAGACACTGGATGACAAACGGCTCAACTCCGGTGCTGTTCACTGACCTTCCCTTTCTCTTTAAAATCCATTTTCACCGTCCAAAATCGCGTTTTTGAATCATTAAAAGCAGCTAAACTGAGAAGCTAAGCTACGAGAGCTAACAGGCCGACCTTGGGAAAAAACTTCCGTCTTGTCGAAGCTCCAAAATTCACGGTTGAAACCTGTGCCTTCGTGTAAAAAGTTGTTTTTCTCTGCAAAAAGAAGCTGAGAACTTGTTTACTGATTTTTTTATTAAAAGCTTTGTGTGACAAATGTTATGCTAACGAGCTCAAACCACACAGAGCATCCGCCATTTTGAGAACCGAATAAAAGGAAAGAGAGACAGCCCATGTCACGTCAAGGGGCCTCCCTCCCATTTTTCTTAAAGAAACACACTGCTCGCTTCCTCACTATCCATCCTTTGGTTCAGTCTTATACTGCCATCCGGTGGTCAAAAAACGTACTACACACAAAATAAGTTAACCAACATTTCTTCTTAAATTTGACAGTAATTACTAACTATTGTCAAATTTCAAATAATATTATCATTTATCGCAATAATTTCTGAGACGATTAATCGCCCAGTAAAATTTGTTATTGTGACAGGCCTACCTGCATGTTTATTATGGATACAGTGTCTTCAAAGGCTGAAATATAAATTATTTTTTAAGAAGATTTATCCAGTTTTCCAACCTTATCAACACGGTCTTTCTGAACACCAAATTTTCCACCAAATCCCTTGGCCATGTCTTTCTGAGAGGAATGCTGCTCCACCTGCGCCACATAGTCGTGTCCCATAGCCGCCTGCACCACAGAAACAAGCAGTCATCCACGGCAGAGCATCAGTGGACAAAGAGAAGTGCAGAACAGTTTGCTAACCTTGTCCATTCTGTCCTTCTCCACTCCAAACTTGCCTCCGTAGCCATATGAAGCTTTGGGGGTCTGCTCCTTCTGCTTCACCTGTTTGTGCTCCTCAGTGACCTTGTGTCTGAGCTCAGCAACACTGCAGCAACCAAACATGGGAACAATTTAACAGCCTGTCCTGTATGCAGACCGGACAGGCTGTAACAAAAGCAACATTACAATGTCATGTAGTGTTCTACTTTTTACCTAAACCTAAAAAAATGAATGCACCACTTGAATACAACATGGAGATAGCTATTAGTCAGTGTTTTAATTATTTAACATATAAAAACAATTTATTTTATGAGCATATGTGTTCATTTAGCACATATAAAAATATACTATTATATTATATAGGGCAAGGTGTGCTCCCCTCTTTTTCACAATACAGCACTAATATGATTAAAAACAATATAAAAGACCTACATTGCACAATTAGCTTCTATCTCACCTACGCTCGTGCTCTATTTGGCATCTCTGTCCGATCGTCTCAAGCTGCATTCAACTCTGGGCGCAGGAGAGGTGCGCCCCAGAATGTTTCTCTCTCTTGTATTGAAGAGGAGCTATTGTGCATGTACAACTTTTAACGAGAGTCTATGGGCGAAGATTTTTGTGCCCCAGGGCAGAAATATGTCACCAATCAGACAACGTCGATGAACTAAACTTTACTCGTCAATAACTATAAAATATTTATCTTACACAACTAAAAATATATATACACATGCATTTCAAAATATTTTTATTTTATTATTTCATTTTTAGTTTTTTTTTTTAATGTCTTATTCAGGCTAATGTGGTGAGTGGTGAAGCGGCACTCTTGCGCCCTCTATTGGCCAGCAACCACTGCTACACAGCATGATGTCGCCACCGCCGTGCTTCACCATAGAGATGGTGCTCTCGGCTTGCCGTTAGGCTTGTATCAGACATGGTGATGTCCTTGCAGCAGCGTGCTTTCTGCACAAATCATGTGGCTTCAACGCAAAATGACGTGAGCGCACACACACACCAATTATTCTGTTTTAAATCATTTGAAACGTTTAACTTCCTTAAGCTAGAGTATTTTGTGTGCAGGTCTACTCACAATCAAACTGAAATTCTATTCATAGTCCAGCGTTTAAAGGCAGTAAGCTGTACGTTTAACTTAGCAAGAAGCATAATCGTCATTATCAGGGGTGCTTGGAAAATGTTTAAAAACTGGGAGCTTTGACTGCGTAGATGTTCAATCTGGTCAAATGTCGTCCTTATTACCCATATTAGGAATGACTCGTTTCCTCACAGCATGTCAGCTCTTACTTCCTCTTCCTGTTGCAGCGCAGCACCCACTGAAACCTGCTTTTATTTATATCAGTTTTAATTTGAGGCCTCGACGAACACAAAAGGAGCTCGTCTTCTCACCTGATGTGTTCTTTACGTCCGGAGCCCTCTATGGTTTTGGCTCCCCACCTCTGTTCCTGCTCAGAAACGTCATTCTGAAACGTACGAAGAAACAAATAACTAAATAAATCAGGTTTATTCAGGTTTATCCAGGAAGTGTTCAGTACCTCAAAGTCAGGGTCCGTCTCCCAGTCGTCCCCCTCTGCAGCCACCTTGACGCTCACGTTGTGGCCCACCGCTGACTTCCACATCTGGAAGGGATTGAACACACAAACCCAGCTGGATCAATTTATGATTAATAACCTTATTTTCATCAGTCAGCTGCTGCAGGGTCACCATGCTGTTTGGTGACAGTTTGATTTGGTGACAAAAACAGAGCACATTTACATTAGTTCTCAGCAGAACTTGCTGAAGTCCAAAAAAAAGGAAGTTCATGTCTGCATGAAACAATCTGACCAAAACTAAACACACTTCATAAAAAAATAATAAAAACAATTTACAAAACAACAAAACTTTATGCAAAACTACATGCTTTGCAAAACCTTTAACTGAATAAGGGTGGACAGGTTCTTGGTAGACACAAAGTTATTTAAAAAAAGAAATGCAGCAAATTGTTAGGAGTGGTTGTAACTGCAACACACACTATAAGAAATGGCATGTTTGTACCTCTCACCATCCTACTGAACAGTTTTGGCCCACAATTCAACCATATTTTGTCTTAAATTTCCTCTCTTAAAGGTGTCCTGAGATCTACTTCCTTAATGTGGCAGAAAGTTCCATAAACTAAAAGACATAAAGGCAACACTTCTAGTTCATTAAGATAAAAGTAAAAAAAAAAAAAAAAAGGTAATTACCTTCAACAGTTGTGTTGAATATTCGAGTACAAGTGGATGAAAGAGCAGATTAATCCTGAAAGGTTTCAGATTGCGACTGTCTGATGGGTGGCACGTGAACGCGCATCCTGCAAACAGGAACGCGCTTCGGCAACAAAAATCGACTTAAATTATTTTAATTAATAATAATAAATCACAGCTTTGTTGCTTGGCTTTTCAAATATGTTTGTGTGCATTATTGTTATTAGTCGTTTATTTTTCTGGTGAAGGAAACGTCAAAATGAGGACATGCTGCATTCAAGTGCCCTCGGAAACCAACAATAAAAAAGAAAACAAAGTGGTGTGGTGGTTTCTTGAAATTCTGCCCTTTTCAAATACTGTACAGGCTTTTTTTATTGTCATATAAGTTGTATAGATAACATATAAGCTTAGGAAGGCTGTGAATTAAAAATAATAGCTGGGATTCTGCTCGCTGCTGTTTTGCCTAAAGGAAAAATATAAAATCAACTCGGTCCCTTGCCCTACTGGCTGAGGCTTTGCTTGTATTGTTTAAATGAACTGAGTGCACCATTAGAAATGTATTTGTTTGCTAAATATTGTGACGCTGCTGTTTTATTAAGGCTATTTTTAATTTGTTTCAGGGACTGAGGCTTCGTGCGGTGGCGACCCCTTGTGGCGGAGTCTCGCAGTTCAAGCCATTTTATGTTGCGGGTGTTGTTTTATTTGTGAACACTAGGGGGAGTAATATGCTCTCTGTCACTGCCTCAGGTGCACACTGCACATGGTTGATGAGCCAGGACAGAGGCAAACAGTTACTGAACGTGTAAGTATGTTCCAGGACGTGTAAAGTGAGTATGAAAGTAAATGGAAGTGCAAGGAGTGTGATTGGAACCTTATTGCATCATCGTTTTAAAAAAAAAGAAAGAAAAGAAATTTAAATTTGTATGCCTCTTTCATGACTGTCTATTGTTGTTATCCACTGTTGGCATCACTTTTTGTTAAAGAAATCAGGTCTCTCTTGTAAATAAGTCCTCGAGTCTCAATGGGGTTAACCTGCATAAATAAAGGTTGAATGAATGGATGAATCTAAGTTTCTTCTTGTCTTTTTATGGTGGTTGGCAAACAATTTTTAGGTGCATTACCGCCACCTTCTGGATTGGAGTATGCACCAGATGCTACACCACTATATACTACTTTACATACTATATCCTTTCAAAACTACCTGTTCTTATCAACTATCTAAATATGCTGGTAAATATTTTATCCTCAGATGATCTTTGCAGCAATTCCTTTATCTCTAACTTACTTTCATTTTTATTTAAGTCTCTTAATTAATACCTCTCTTTCCTTTTTTGTATATTTATTGCGTTCTAAGAAAATATGTTTTATTGTTTCTGTTTGTCCACAATGATCACAACAGCCCGTAGCATGTTTTATTGATTGTTTTCAGTGTGCTGTTTAATCCCGTGTGACCAAATCATCTAAGCTGAATGAAATATGGAACTTTGAAATGGAGGGAAGTAATGCATGGACTTTAAAATACAGAAAATAAATGACACTTCAAATTCAATTCAAAAATATTTTATTAACAACAAGGAACTGATTAAAGCACATTTAATTTGGACACGTCAGAACAGCTGTCAACTCGTCCCCTGTGGTGATTGAGCTTTAAAGGAAAAGTTTAGCCCCACATTTAGTCAACAAACTCCCTAATTGGAGAGAGACAGTGCTGGATTGTGGCTAAATGGAGTCACGAGGCTGGATCGGGCCCCGTTGGACAGTGACGGCGCTGGATCTGGCTGCTGTTTGGCACCCTTCAGCTGATGGGTGTCGGAGCGATTGGAATTGGGCATCCTGGAGGCAGACTGGACACCTGTGCATCTCTGCCGGCCAACGTAGAGGTATGGGAAGAGCTACCAAACTAGTGAATGGCCATTCATGTTAAAGTGTGCACACACACAAGTGCTAAAAAGACCAATGCACTGGTGACTGACTGACTTTTAATCTTACAAACCACACTGGTTATCAAGGATCTGTCTGTTTAAAACAATGGAGGAAGACTGTGATCCTGATCCAAAACCTTTGGCTGGGACTGATACAGAACTCAAGGCTGGATCTTCAGATCTAGTCCCGACTGTTATAAAACATACTATTAAAATGACTGAGAAAGGACTCATGGAAAAAATTGTACATTTGCAAAATGAAAGAAAGCTTTAAATGCGAAAGGCTTGTGGGTTTGATATATTTTTCATTCATTCAACCTTTATTTATACAGGTTAATCCCATTGAGCCTCGGGGACTCCTTTACAAGAGAGACTTGATTTTAACAGAGTGGTGACAACGGTAAACAACAAAGACTATAATAGGCGATCATAAAGGATGCGTACAAATTTTCTTTTTCTTTTTACAAGTGAAAATAAAATGGTAATAAAAAAAGGAAAAGTAGCAAAAAAAGGCTATATTATAAGGCGGTGTAGAAAACTAAAATCAAGAACATGTCTGCATTGGTTTTACCAGGAACTCAGATGTTTAAAGCCACTTAGAGAGGTCCAGGTCGAGAGCTTCACATCTTTTTGCAAGATACTCCAGGAAACAGGAGCGGAGTAGAAGAAGGACCTTTTTGCCTAGTTCAGTCTGCACTGAGGGGACACTGCAGGTAATGATGTCCTGAGAGCGCACGCTGTAGCTGCACTCATGCAGAGACATGTAGGAGGAGATGTATGAAGGAAACAGACCAAGAAGGGATTTAAAGATGAAAATGTACCAGTGGGAGCGTCTGCGTGAAGTTAATGATGTCCAGTTAACCAGTACGGTACAATAGTTCCAGCCAGTTATGAATCTTAGTGCACCATGATAGACAACATCCAGCATCTGCAGGGTTCATGTAGGAGCGTTCATATAGATAATGTCACCATAGTCAATGGAGGGAAGGAAAGTCACAGATGCAAGGTGTTTCCTAGCATTCAGAGTTAGACAGGATCTGTTTCTGAAAAAGAAACCCAGTTTAACTTTCAGTTTCTTTAC